GAAGTACTATGATGGATCAAAGGCGTTAATGTTCCACGATGGGTATGCAAAGAACTGAAAGCGGGAGTGAACTTAGGCACTATGCGAGTCAGCGGCATAAAGAGTCATGACTACCACGTATGGATTGAGCGGCTTCTTCTGACGATGGTACGAGGCTACGTTCTCGAGCATCTCGGCTATTGCTAGCGAGTTGAGCTATTTCTTCCTTGACTTTGTGCCAAGGAGCTATCTCGGACCGTGGTTGCAAACTTGGAGAAAGTGGCACCTGAGTTGCTTTGTAAGTTGGAGAAGATCTTTCCACCCGGCTTCTTCTTGTCGATGCAGCATTTGATTGTGCACCTCCCGTATGAGGCACGTATGGGGGGGCCCGTGCAGGCCCGTTGGTGCTACCCAATCGAGAGATGTCTGAAGGCCGTTCGCAAAAAATGTAGAAATAAAGCCAAAATTGAGGCTTCCATTGCAGAGAGGCTTCCATTACGGAGGAGGTGACAAACTTCACACATGCTATACTACATGGAGAACCTTCCTAGCGTGCATAATCCACTCCCTCGCTACAATGTTGACGAGAATGAATCCAACCTTAGCCTTTTCCAAGGGCAACTCGGTAGGTCAAGTGGATCGACCAATAAGAGGTTGGAAAATGAAGAGTGGCGCATGATCATGCTATATGTGTTCCACAACCTACCCGAGGTGAAGTCGTTAATTGAGTAAGTTCTCAAAGAACTTGTTTAAATACGCTGTCACTATTCTGCATCCAACTGATTCTTTCTCGTTTGCACAGGGAATTTATTCGTGTATCCTGGCATCAACCAAGGGATCCTACCCCATGGCAAACCGACACCCTTCTTTCACGGGGTCCGGGAGCAGGGAGGCCCGATTTTATTTCTTGGTTCAAAACAAAGGTATTGTCCAATTTACCTCGTACCTAGTTCAAGATTCCGAGTTTCGCGTACTTAGTCCAGGAATCTTTCCTTCTTGCGCTTGCAGGACCAAACCGATGCAACTATGAGTAAGGAGTTGAGACAGGTTGCAAATGGCTTCGACGAAGAAGGTGAAAGCTTATTCGAGGTTATGATGTGAATGGATATCGCTTTCACACAAGAAGCTCTGAGCGAGCTCGGCCCCATCGAAAAACCACAAGCAATGGAGTTTGTACTCCAAGACCGATGGCCTCGAGTATCATGGCATAATTGAAGATATCTATGAACTTGAATTTTATGGTTCGAAACCTCTTCGTCTTGTCATGTTCAAATGCCACTGGTTCAATCCTCGACTAACGAAACGGAGCCCTAATATTGGTCAAGTCCAGATTCGACATGATTCCATCTATCAAGGAAAAGATGTCTTTATTGTGGCGGATCAGGCCGTGCAGGTTTATTATTTGTCATACGCATGCCAAGGCAACAAGGCTCTTCAGGGTTGGTCTATTGTGCACCAGGTATCGCCACATGGTAGACTAGCTGTCCCAAATGATGAAGATTACAACTTCAACCCAAACACATATGATGGAGAGTTCTATCAAGAAAATGGGCTACAAGGGAGGTTGGTGATAGACTTAACCGAGGCGATTGGAATGGAAGTAGACAATGAAAGGGTTGATGACGAGGAAGAAGGAGATGAGGTGCAAAATGCCAAGGACATAGAAATGCTTGAGCGATTACATTTAGATGATGACGATGAAGGCAACATTGAACCTTCGGACAGTCTTGTTTATTTGGACAATTTTGATAGTGATGACGAGTCATATGATCCAGATAATCCCAATAATGATGATTACTTCTAATACATGTAATACTATGTTATTTGGTAATCATGTTTTGTTTATTTACTTAGCATCTATTTCTAATACATGTAATGATGTCTTGTTTGTTTCTTTTTAATTACAGGTGATTGAACAAAGATGGCGGGCGGTAGTGGGCCGAGGAACGTGAACTCGAGGTACCAGAGGGCACGTGAGGATGCAGATGCCGGAGAGAACGCATCGGACGGGAGGAGGCAGAGGGCCAGGAGCAGCGGCAACGGGAGCGGCAGCAGGAGGGGCCGGCCTCCTCTAGTTAGGCCGCGTGACGTGCCTGAGGAGGAGCGCCGCACCACCACGGACTCCTCGGGGGGCAAGCGAGGAGTTCTGGCGACGGGACGAGGTTGGCGACAGACAGCCGAGGAGAGGCCTGAGGGGCGGCGAGGCCGGAAGTAGTTCCACTTGCCTCTGCTGCGGCTAGCCCCTACTATGAGGTCCTCAAAACTCCCTGGGCCTCCGCTTCCTCCCCTATGCCCTTGATGATCCGCCCCTGTGGGGACAGGTAACTAACTTTAGATTTAATCACTGCTACTTCATATAACCTGTTGAAAATTGTGAGAGAAACTAATAATGTTTGTTAATGACTTGTGCAGAGCCTTTGGGAGGTTGTGTCGCTGGTGACTCACGCAACCCCAACCACATCTTGGGGCTTTGTGTGCAGCACTATTACCCCGGCATTGTCAAGCACAAGGGGACTATGGGGCCGGCCAAATCGTGGGACCACTACAAATGCCCCGACGCAGATTATGAAGACAAGCGGGGAGGCGGGTGGGGAGAGAGTTCAGGTAAGTCTCGTTCGCACAACTTTGATCAATACATCGCATTCATTTGACACTTTTTCACATAATGAATTGATACATTGTGTCTGTCTCACAGACTTTTTTTTCAGTGTGAAGAGGGACGGGGAGGAGAGGCGGGGAAGAACTTGGTGAAAAGTGCCAGAAACGATCAGCGACATGCACTACGAGGGCGCCTCACTTGCATCATCAAGTACTACGCCACGCGACTTAGTCGAGAAAGTCAGCCAAGACACAGGCAAGACAGATGCCTCGACCGGGAGCAGTTCCTTGAGGCAAATGAAGAAGAATAATCTTGATTCGTTTTGAGATTAAGTAGCTTTCATTTGGTCGTCTTACATCTCAAATTCTTTATGACATGTAGATGATTCCATGGTGGTGCGAGTCCTTTGCCGCATGGCTGGGAGATGATCATGGACAGTGTGGTTCACAAGAGGGTTATATCCAGAACACGAAGCCCACCGGAGCGGGCTTTTTGAGCGACAGCCCCACACACCACCAAGGCGGCGCATGGCCTCGTGGCGTACAAGCAAGCTTGGGTACGTGAATTCATTTTAGTATTCGACGCTCCATTCGCATGTTTCTTCTAATCATCTTGTTGTCTTTCTCGCGATCGGCGTCGCATGGTGGCCAGCCTTTGTCCACGTTCATGGCGTATGGATCGCCCGCAAGGGAAAGGCGACTTCATTTATCACCTTCAGCCCGGATGACCCACCCGAAGTCGTGACAAAGAACCCGAAAGCGCCCACACCCGCATCAGCTCCTACGCGTCGAAGGCAAGGTCGGTCCAGGGGCCAGACTGGGATCCGAGCATCGACGACATTGATGGCACGACTGTCATGAGGATCGGACAGGGCAAGAAGCATGGGCGGTACTGGCTTGGCGATGGCACCCTCGAGTCCGGCTCTGTTCCCTCCCTCTCCGGATCCGAGAAAGTACCTGAGCGGAGGCCCGGCCATACGCCAACGGCCGTCCCCCTTCACAAAGAAGCCGGGTCGACGCACTCTAGGTTAGTCGGTTTAACTCTTCGTACATTGATCTTTACATAACTTAGTTACCTTTACATTACTAAAACATTCGATTGAAATGTTGCGGCCGAGAACGAGAGGATGGCTCAGAGCTACGGGACTGGCGGCGAGGACCGAGGTGGCCGAGCAGGAAAGACAAGCCGAAGCGGCCGAGCCGAGAGACAAAGCCAAGCGGTGGCGGAGATTACGATGTTCTCGCAGAACTTTGGGCAAGTGAACGGTGTACTGTGCCGATGTTCGCTCCCAGCCGCCGCCCTTGATTGTATCTAGTCCGGTGAGTATGAATCCATATTGCTTCGACTAGTGCTTTCATTAGATGACCCACTCTAAGCGCTGAATCTCTTGTCCTTTTATGCGGCGTCCGTCGGCGGGTTGAATAACCCATCTCGGCGCAAGCAAAGCGGTCTTGAGTTTCCTTCACTGTGCACTCGGTTTCCTCCGCACCTTTAGTTTGTATCTCTTTTTCACCCCTTGATGGACATGTGATGCCTCGTGATCCACTATCGACTTGTTTCGATGGTAATTGGACCTATTATGTTTGTGATGTCGTGTATGTGAGGTATTGTATTCGTGATGTGATATATATGTGTGGGATTGAGTTTGTGATGAGATGGATGTGATATATATGTGCTATATTGTCTTTGTGATGTTTCGGATGTGATATATATCTTTTATATGCTGTGTTTGTGATTATAGAATCAAAAACAAAATAAAAAATTAATTTTGAGGCTTTGCGGGTGCCTCGCCACGGCACTTTCAAGCAAAAGCTGGGAATTTGAATTTCAGCTTTGCCGAGTGTGAGAACCAGGCACCCGCAAAGTTTTATCAAAAAAATTCTTTGCGGATGCCCCCATGACTGGCACCCGCAAAGAAATTCTGAAAAAAAATAAAAACTCTTTGCGGGTGCCCCAGGTGGTCGACACCCGCAAAGAAATTATAAAAATAAAAAATCTTTGCCGGGTGCCTCCCCGGCACGGCACCCGGCAAAGAAAATTTGAAAAAAAAATTAAAAAAATCTTTGCCGGGTGCCTCTGACATGGCACCCGGCAAAGCAAGGGATGACGGAGCCGGCGCCGTAACGACCACTTTTCTTTGCCGGGTGCCGGGTTTGCACTCGGCAAAGTCTTTGCCGGGTGCCCGATAAAAAGCACCCGGCAAAGAAATCTTTGCCGACTAATTTTTTGCCGGAGGCTCTTTGCCGAGTACTGCACCCGGCAAAGGCTTTGCCGCGTGCAAAGTAGCCTTTGCCGGGTGCATTCGGCACCCGGCAAAGCGCCTGAATCTAGCAGTGATATCATTTGGAATTCAAGCCTTATATATTTGTGTCAAAGTACAGCTCTCATTATTTTGTATCTTGAACAGCTATACGGTAACTTGATGGCACTACCTTCAGCCGTCGTTGAGGAGGGTGTGAGCACAGTGTTCTCGTACATCTCAACCAAGGTCGAAGACAAGGCGTCCAGAGCAGACACAATCGCAAGGCTCGAGATTGCACTCGCTCGCTTGGACATTGCCCTTGAGAAGACAGGGAGGATACCAATCACATACGTGTCCTTGCTACGTAGTAGGAAGGATATCAAGGGAGTCTATATGGAGGGGACAGAACTGCTCAACAAGCACAAGAAGCCGCAGAATGAGAACGATGGCCACGTGGTGGTAAGGAGTTCCTCCTACCTTCAATGGATCGCCGATAGGGCTGCAAACTTCTCCATCTCTTCTCTTGTTGGCTTGGGCAAGGAGAAGTTGAGTTCCTCCGTTGCCCAAAAATTTGAGAGGTATGCAGACTGGGCTGAAAAGTTTGTAGCAGAGGTGGAGTCCGGCTGCCCACTCCGTCTTGACACCTTCCGCTATCCATTTCTTAAGCATCTTCTTGAAGGGGAAAAGTCTCAGGTGTGAAATCGTAAAGAATCCAAGCCATTCCCTCAGTTTAGACCTGCATCCGGTGATTGTAGAAGGGCGTGGCGTAGAGGTCATACTACTTTATCAATATAACGATCTCAGGAAGCTCGGGGAACACTTTTCTGTAGTCATGAACCTACGAATCTCTGAAGACACCGATATCATAGGGACCAGTATTAAGTGCATCCAGCGGTTGACATCTCAGTTCAAGCTTGTGGCTGAATCTGCGATAGGAGAACTCACGCTGCTGCCTAATTTGCAGGACACTTTCCATTCCTATGTTCTTCCACCCAGTTACATCAAAGAAAAATATGGACATCTCACAGATTTAATCCGCCCCGATCCAATATGTTGCAATGGAAATAGCTGCGGAACTCTAGCTAAGAATTCTTCAATCGAAATTCCGGAGCCAGTTATTCTTGTCTATTTTAGTTGCTGTATTTCAGCGCCCAAAAACAGCTTGCGTAACGCACCTCTGGTTCTGGACGGGATTTTTGTGCCTCATGTGTCTTTGTACTCCAACGATGAGATGATTCGTATTCAGTATGGAGGCAAACAGGAAAATAGAAGCGGTGGTAGTGTGCAACAACTGGAGGAGATAGCAAGATCAGATGCGCTCGATTATTTGGTCCATGAACCAGAACCCACGGATTATGCTCTGTGCTGGTTATCCACGCATGGTGTTGCATTCGTCACACTGAAGGCCATGCCAAGACCCAGCCGGAGGGTTTCTAAGAGAAAGCGGTAGAAGTTCAAAGGTGGCGACTGATTTGTGCTTAGACTTATTTTTGTAGGAGCTCATTACTTCAATTTCGGGGGCCGTCTTATATATATAGTTTTAAAATTTGTCAAGGTCCGCGCTTCAAAAAACGTTGTCAGACAAATAAAAACTACTTTTTCATGCCTGGATGTGAATATTCGGTTTGTAGTTTGCTATGCTGTATTTCTGTACACGACTGATCTCTATATGTATGATTGAAATTATCGTGAATTCAGTTTTAGCCCTGATGTTGTCTTGAGTTTTGTCTTAACTAACACTATGTATTTGGACATGGTTGGAAAAGTACCATTGGTACTTCCAAATACTTTCATTTGTATTATTTTCTAGCTAATTATCTGACAAAGAGAATTTATAAAATGTAATTTTTATCGTAGAGGGTAATTTTGTAATTGAGTTTTTTGTCCTTTCTCCAACAAGGCAGCATCACAACTGGAACGAGGTTCTTTGCCGAGGGCCGGATACGCTCGGCAAAGAGGCCTTTGCCCTCGGCAAAGGCTTTGCCGAGAGTTGCTCTCGGCAAAGGCCGGTCGGCACAGTACCTCACGGCAATGGCTACTTTGCCGAGAGCCGCATCTTGGGCTCTCGGCAAAGGATTTGCCGAGGGTTAGCCGGCCGTCGGCAAAAATTTTCGCCGTGGCGGCGAGAGGTCACGGTAAAGTTGATCTTTGCCGAGAGCCTTAGCAAGCTTTCGGCAAAGAATTTCTGAATTTTTTTTCCAAAAAACTTTGCCGAGCGTCTGTCAAAATAGCTCTCGGCAAAGAATATTGACAATTTTTTTAGACATTTTTTTGCCGAGAGCTATGGCTCAGCTCTCGGCAAAGGCTTCCTCTTTGCCGAGGGCTATGGTCATGCGCTCGGCAAAGCTGGGATTCTATGTGTTCCAGAATTCCCAGCTTTGCCGAGAGCATGACCATAGCCCTCGGCAAAGCCACAGCCAGTTTTAATTTTTTTTTTGGTTTTTGCATTTCCAGTCAACAAATAAACATATATATGACATCCACATCACAATAAGCACATCCACATATCAATAACCACATCCACATCACATAATTCACATCCACATCACATAGAAGTCTCGAAGTTCGAAGTCACAAACAAATCTCGACACATAGACAACCACAAGTGTAAAGTTCGACAAGCAACATAAACAAGAGGCATAGGAGGCGCCAAACTGGTCATGGCGACAGTCCGGGCCGAGAAGGCGCTGCGTGCGATCCTGGGGAGTTGACAAGGAGAAGGTTAGGGTCGTTCGACGCCGCCGACTGACGCTACACAAACAAAGAAGATGCAGAACGTGTTAGACAACATAAATAGATAACCAAGCACTACATGTACTTTTTACCACCACGACCACACCACTACCACCACCACCACGCCACCACCACACTACTACTACCAGCACCAACAAGCACACCACCACGCCACCACCACCACCACCACCACCACCACCACCACGCCACCACCACAACCACACCACTACTACCACCAACAACAACCACACCACCACGCCACCACCTCCACCAACCACGCAGCCACCACCACGACCATGCCACCACCACCACCAACCACGCCGCCACCACCACCCACCACCATCACCACTAGCACTAGGTTTCACTAGGTTTTACTAGGTTTCACTAGGTTTGACATTTAGAGAAACTAAAACATTTGTCATACCCACCGGAGTAGAATCAAGCTGAGGTGGAGGTGTAGCCTGCAGCTGACCGAGCAGGAACTATGGGATCGTTCCACCTTGGGTCATCGCAAGACCCCGCACGTAGGAGAGCACATCTCGCCATCCGCCGCTGATCTCGCTTCTTGGCCTCTAAAGCTGCCGACCCTCGCCGCTCGAGCCCCGCTCGGCCTCCAAAGCTGTCGACCTCTCCCTGCTTGCTCCCGCTCGGCCTCCATCGCCTACAGCTGTGCCTGCAACATTTGACGCCAATGTTTCAAGATTGCGGAGCTAAGGTATGTAAAAGTCAAAGAACTAGGAATGGAAGAGAACACTTACCGGAGTGTCGACACCACGGTCGGTGACGGCTTATGGCGGCATTGAGCTCATGCTCGCTGCCGGATCTGGTGCAATGGAGGAACAAAAAGGTCGTGTCGAGGACACCGCCGCCAAGCCGAACCGCCCGTGCTTCTTGCCTTGCCCCACCCTCATCACGAGCTCTGGATCAAGCCGCTCCTCGGTGGTCGGGTCGTAGTCCGCCCGTGGACTAACCTTGCCATCTCGTATGTACGCAGAGATGCGAGAACAATCTTGGCGTTAGTGAACGACTCGGCGAGACTTTCGAGGAGTCCGGTCGGTGCCAGGGCGGTCGCCTTGCCCAAGTGGGACAAGGCATATGCCTTGAGGTGACCACAAGGGCGGCCACCATGTGACGCTGACTGCGAGAAAGACAATAACATTGTTAGAGTTGTTGCAGAATTGAGTGTTAGGTTAGAGAAATGGTTTCGCCTTACCCAAGCTTCTGAGAATTCGGAGAGGTTGCGGCTGCCTTGATGGTGTGGTACTCCTTGCATCAGCAAATGGCGCTCGCGTGCTTCATCATGCTCCTTCTTCCGATCTGGTGAGCCACATGTCCACAATCCTCTCTCCAGGCATCCGGATGCCGATTGCACCAGTTTGGAATCGCCTATAGGCCATCAAGCAAACGATATATCAGAAGATCAAATTAAGGAAACTTAATCTCAGAAGAAATCAATAGTAATGTTCTGTATTTACCGCAAGGTACTCCTCCTTGGTCAGCACCACCTGTCTTGCCTCGTCCTTTTTGATGCTATGCCCTTTGACCTTCGCGTAGTGCCAAATGTGCGCCTGATGACGCGCGTCGTGAATCATGTCCGTGACGCGCTTCTTACAAGAAGCGACCGCCACCTGGTACGCCTTGTGCTCCTTGCCCTCCTTGATTCTAAAGAAATCCTGCATAAAGGCGCGAGGTATCAATTACTTATTAGAAGAATGTCCAATGAATACGATGTATATGTGGCTAAAAGAATACAATGTGTGCCTGAAAGACTTACTGACAGGTCCCTGACGACCCGCTCCACCTTGTTCCTGTATCTGTGGCCACTACGATCCATGGCATCGGTGGCCAATTCATAGTGGTCGAACTGAGTGGCCGGCTCGAACATGTCCGGGCTCACCTCCACCAGGCCAGGGTAGTGCTCCCTGCATAGACCTCCTGGGATGCCATTCACTTTGCGTGCCTTGGCTCCAGTCTCCACAAGTTTCCAGTTCCTGCACAAGTGATTACAAAAAGTATTAGTTTGTATTTTGATTTTCAACATTTCAAATGAAGAAGTTTCGAGCACATCTTAAATTACTTACCTATCCCCATAGGGTGTGATCAGCGGGCGGGCCGCTTCAGGTATTGGTCGACGCGGGAGCTTCGCGGGATCACGCAAGTACACCGTCGACACACCAGAGGAAGTGGATCCCCCTGCAGTCTCCTCGTCCCCTGCAGTCGCCTCGTCCCCTAAGGTGGAGGAGGACCCCCTGCATCCACATGCTCCATCGCGGCGACAGGCTCCTCCACGGCCGGAGGGGTAGTTGGCTGCGTCCTGCTCGGACGCCTGTGGCTCCTCCGCCTCAGCACCGGCTCCGGAGGCTGAACCGACGCCTCCGGCTCCTCCTGGCTGGCGTAAAGAGACTGGACGGACCTCCTGGGTGGCATCTCCTGCATTAAAAAAGAACAAAACAATTAGCATATATAAACGATACATAATTAGAAAGAGATGCAAAATGAAGATAATTACATGCAAAATGAATATAATTACAAAAACAGATAATATTACATGTATTAGAAACGATCTCCATGATCGGGATTAGCTGGATTGTACATATCGTCATCGCTATCAACCATGTCCAAATCTTCATCCGCCTCCTCATCATCACTATCAACACCTAAGTGTAATCGGTCAAGGAACACTATGTCCTTTGGATTTTCCACCTCATCTCTAGAGTCCTCGTCCACAACCCTTTCGATGTCTGTCTCCATTTCGACTAGCCCGGTTAAGTCTATCTCAAAGCTCCCTTGTAGCCCCTCTTCGTGTTGATAGAACTCTCCGTCATGTGTTTATGGGTTCAAGTTGTAATCTTCATCGTTTGGGAGAGGTAGTCTACCGTGCGGCGATATTGTGTGAACAACATACCAACCCTTAAGGTTTTCCTCGGTTTGGCAAGCATATGGACTATAATAGACTTGCTTGGCTTGTGTGGCCACAATCCATACATCATCACCTTCATAGACGGAATCCTATCGAGTCTCGACTAGCCCAAGATGAGGGTACTGTCTCGATACCTCAGGATCAAACCACCGGCATTTGAATATGACAGGACTAAAAGGCTCGGCTCCACGAAACTGGAGTTCGTATATTTCTTCAAGTATCCCATAATAGTCCTTGCCATCAGTTCCAGGCATCATAACTCCGGTATTTGTGGTCCTTCGATGCGGCCGACTCTGCTCGTAGCTTGTTGTGTGAAAGTGATACCCATTGACGTCATAAACGTTACATGACATGACCCTAAAGTTGAAGCCATCGGCAACCTACCGCAATTCAGCACTTATAGACGCATCCCTGTAGCACTGCAAAGTTAGGCTAGAGCGTTATGTTATTCACATAAACGACCAACTTGAAATCAAGAAACAAGGGGGGAGTTGGACGGTACCTTCTTTTGGAACCAAGAAATGAAATCCCGCTCCTTAAGAATGGTATCAACTTCATGAGGGCGAGGTCGCCTTGATTGACGCCAGAATAGATTAACAAATTCCCTGTGTAGACAAGAAACATGACGGGGTTGGATGCAGAATAGTGACGGTGTAAGTAACAAGTTCGTTGAGAACTTACTCGATATACGGCGCCACTTCATCTAGGTTGGCCAACAAATATAGCATGATACTGTGCCACTCTTCATTGCTCAAGGTCTTTGGGCTCAATGCACTCGCTCTTCCGAGTGACCCTTT